GGGGGTAGGGGGGCTGGTAGGGGTGGAGTGAAGTGATAAAAAAAACTTTAATTTTTTTTTTGTTTTTAAAGCTTTTAACAAGATTTTTATTATAATATGGGTAAATATGAGTATTCATATTATCCATTGGGTAGCTCATTTTACCCATTTAAAATGTGAATTATGTCGAATAATTTATCCATTTTTGTTTAACTCATTTTTTATTGACTCATATTCGATTGGCTCATTTGCCACTCTAGGTGTGATTAAGCCCATAGTAGGTGAGTCAAGAAAAGAACTTTTAGAACACTGTAAAGGTGGTTGTTTTATCGAATAAGAACAAATAAACAATAATTGGTGTTTTCTAAATGGGATAAGGGTTTGAAAAATATATCAACTTTGGTCGGATTTGCTGTTGCGATACTAAACTTTCATAAGGACCTATTACCTCCCTAGACTATTTAATACCGTATTTTTTACCCCCTGAACTATTTAATAGTGTATTTTAAAGGTATTTATGTGCCCACGTGGACACATTACTATTTATAATTTTGCATTATTTTTTATGTCCAAGTGGGCAAATATATATGTTTAAAATACGGTATAAATAGTCTAGGGAGGTAATAGGTCCTCATGAAAGTTTAGTATCGCAACAGCAAATCTGACCAAAGTTGAGATTTTTTTAAGACCCTTATCCCTTTTTAAATTAACAAGTGGCCGTCATTATTATACCTACCCACTAATTATTTTAAATAAACAATGACTTCGTAAGTCAAAATAATCATATCATATATTATTATAAGTGGGAAGAGCTTAACCTCAAAAGTTGAATTACGAAAATACCTCTATATTAAATTAAAAAAGTAATAAAAATTAATTAATTAAATAATAATCATATATCATATTATTATATTATTATACTAATGCTAATCATCATATACCTACTTGTTTGTTTTCTCCGTTTGTTGGCTTCTCATTTCCTTCCTAATCTTAATTATTCTCTCTCTACTTATAAATATTCACCTATTGTTATAATAATTATAATAAAGAAGGGATGAGAGTTGCAAGGTAATTAATTATGAGAGAAATGTTCACTTTATTGCTATATAATTATGATAATAAAATATAAAGAGAATGAAGAGTTGCAAGGGTTATAAATTTTGAGAGCTATAATATAAAATAAAGAGAATGAAGAGTTGCGACTTGCGAGGGTAATAAATTTGGACAGCTATATATAATATTTGTGTAGCAAAGAGGTGGCCAGCCGGTCATTATTATTTTTGCAAAAATGCATGATTATTAAATAAAATTTTCAATTCTCTCTAAATACATTAGTTGATTACTTATTACTTTCATTGTATTATTTTGCTTTTTACAGAAGAAAAATGTGTATAAGTTCTAAAAGTTCATACGGAGCATGCAATGATGGAAATGAATATTGAAAATTTTCACGGAGGTTGAAATCCATCTATTCACAAAGTTAGCTTTTAATATTATCTAATATATTTTCATATTTTGAGATAATTCTCTTTTAATGTTTAGTTTTTAGGTAATTGCCGGAGGAATTCAAATAGGTGCTTTCACTAATTTACATACTTTGGGTAAGTGAATTGAACTCTCTTCTTCCTTTCTTTGTCATTTCACATAATATATATATATATCTTAATTTTTCATGTTTCAGATCTGACCTAGCTATCATCTTTGTAAGAAAATTATTCTAGATAATAATTATGACCATATCTATCTATTATGTTGTTTACCTCATTTTGCTCCAATATTACTTTTTTGGTTCCTTTACACTAGATCTTCTAGGTAAAGAAGAAAAAGAATATCATTGTCTTTTTAGAACTGTTCGGGATAGTAGCATTAGTGTTGCATTTGGATCGAAGACGTCATCATATGTGATAATATTGATAGATAGAGAATGAATATTTGGAAGACAATAGATTTTATCACTATGTATGGATTAGAATGAAATAAAAATATATACTCTTTTATACACTAATAATTTTTATATTTTATTTTTTATTCTAATTGATGTAGATGAAGGATACATATCTCTCGAAGGTGTTTGGAAATGTTCCAAAAATTTATTTGATTTTATTTCATGTAAATTGGTTCCTTTGTAAGTGATTTTTATATTTATTCTTAAAATTTCCTTTTTATGTTTTCAAATTGGATATGGGATCTACGTGTAAAGTGCGTAATGAGAGATTATTGAGGATAAGTTATATCGACATATTCATACCATTACATGTTATATTATCTTAATTAGCTTCACATTTCTTGCTTGATGGCAAATGCAACATTCCACTGTTATGATTAAAATAAAAATAAAACATTCCACTATTATGAATTTTATTTAATGAATATGATGTAAATGATAAAGTTAATATTGTTAATTTCAATATTTTCTATATAATAATTCAATAATATGGGATAAACGTGCAACGCACGTTCCTAAGGACTAGTATTATTATAAGTGGGAAGCTTCAACAATTAAAGTTGGATTACCATTTTACCCTCAAGCTAAAACTATTTCTATAACTATTTTATTTATTAAAAAATAAACTTATATTATAATAAATATTATTAGAACATTAAATATTTAGAATGAATTATTTAGTTGAGAAACTAAATTTATTGTAGTCTTTTCAATTTTCCGGAGTTACTTTTCCGTGTAATACTTATTGTGAATATATACAATATATTATGCTAGAGTAAAAGAACTTCAAAACAATCATTTAAATATTTAATTATAATATT